AGAGTGTAAAATGCAGCAAAATGAAAGAAAAAAAGGCTGCCATTTTAAGGGAAAAAAATAGAACCAAAAGAGAGAGAGAGGGAGCAGAATTTTTCCAGCAAGGGTTCCACTGTAGCAGCGTCTGAATTCTTAAAGTTTGGAGGGGTAATCTTTGTCCGTTGGTCCTGAAATTTGGACTGGAGTTACAAGACTCATCAATCTTTATTTCCAACAAAGGGTGGTTGTTTTCGTCAGCTAGATTGTGAGTATTATACTTTTGAAATTGCTGCTGGTTTTGTGAATGTTTAGTTGATCTTTTGATCTTGTATTGATATTCTAGTGCCTTTGTAGCTTGGTTTAGCTTGGGTAAGGACTAGATATCTTTGTTGTATTGTTGAATTGGTGTACTCCTACTCTTATTTGGTGATTAGCGGATTTGATAGGCCTTTTGGTCTCGTGGTTTTTACTCCTTCATATCGAAGGGGGTTTTCCACGTAAATTAGTTTTTTGCTTTCTTGTTGTTGCATTGGTAACTTTACTTCTACTTAGTGTAGTTGGTAGATTCTTGCAAATTGGGGAGGCCTTGGTTTGTTTCCGCTGTGCCTAAGCTAGCTAGTGTTGACTAGCTAGTGTGTTTGCTTTGCCTATTTGGTCCTCATCTCCCATCACTTAGTAGTCAAGTACTTGAGGAAATGTCCGACAAAAATCGTGGATTCTTTTTCCTGTCAAAGGAGCTGCACCACTTGAGACCTATCCTAAACTCTTGAAACTATGGCTAGAAACATTCTCCTTAGCTATTTTCGTCAATTTCATCAATATAGAAGGTACAGCTGGGAAATGAGTGACACTAACACCATATTTGTCAATGGCCCAAACCATTTCGTCAGCATCAAATCTCCTCATCACAACCATGCTAGTACCCAATGACAACAATCCTAGTACGAAAAGTACAAGTCCATAAGCATGAAACATGGCCAGATACACATTCTGACTCGGCGTTTTGAGATAAATTAAGGCTTCAAATCTTGCAAACAGAACCAACCCTGCTATTAAATTTCCATGAACTAGTAAAACTCCTTTGGAAGCGACAGTTGTGCCACGTAGAGTAATAAGAATTGTATTTCATCATTGTGTTCTGATATACAGGATACACAGTATATATAGAAATTAAAAAATACTTAAACTCTATACACAAGGCTATAATAGGAAATACATATATTACAATGCGCCTCCACAAATTGACGGCGGACAAGAGAGAAGCCAAAGTTTGTCCCTAAAACAAAAGAATAAATCCTTGGACAAGGGTTTGGTCAGAATGTTAGCAATCTGATCAGCAGCAGATACAGAGTGTACTGAAACAAACTTTCGCCGAACATGATCTCGAACAAAGTAAAATCTACCTAAACATCTCTGGTACAGTTATGAAACACGGGATTAGTAGCAAGAAAAACTGCACTACTGTTGTCACATCAAACAGAGGGAGAACGATGTAACGAAACACCCAACTCAGACAACAGATAACACACTCAATGTAGCTCAACACCAACATTAGCAATCGCACGAAACTCAGCCTCTGTAGACGAGCGAAATACAGTGGGCTACTTCCGAGATGCCCAGGAAAAAAGATTAGGTCCCAAATAAAGGAGAAAATCGATAGTAGAACGACGATCATCAGGACAATGAGCCCAGTCAGCATCACTAAAGGCAGTAAGAGTGCCCAAATCAGTGGGATGCAGGATCAAACGGTAATCATCGGTGCCACGAAGATAGTGAAGGATCCGTTTGAGAGATTGAAATGAGAAGTCTGGGGCTGATGCATGAACTGACAAAGCTTATTAACCGCAAAACAGATATCCGGTCGGGTGAGAGTGATATGCTACAGACTACCACAAAGCCTGCGATAGGTAGTTGCCTCATCAAGAGACAGCAGAGTACTATCCAAATGAGACAACACAACACCAGGCTGCATAAGAGTGGAAATAGGCTTGCAAGTATGTATTTTGGCAAGCCGTAGTAAATGAGTAACATATTTGCGCTGAGAGAGGAGGAAAATCCCGAGATGTGTGATGAACCTCGACACCAAGAAAGTAACTCAAAGGACCCAAATCTCAAAGAGAAAACTCCTTAGCAAGACAAGAAATAAAATGCTGAATCAAACCAGATGTACTGCTCGTAATAAAAATGTTATCCACATAAACTAGCAGAAAACACAACTGAGATCCTCGGCACAAAAAAAAAAATCAGAATTCTTGAAATCAGAATACAGTATAGCTGCTGCATCTTGAAATCAGCTTATGAAAATCAGAATTCTTATGATGCAGGGATTTAGACATCAAGTGCGCTGTACTCGGCACCCTGACAACAGGAAAAGCCTAAGGTACTGAGCTCATCAACTCTCCCGGGCAATCAGAACCCAAAAGATGGTTTACGATCAAGAACTTGGTTATTAATCTCTGCAAAGGTACTCAGAGGATTAATGGAAGTAGCAACTGCACCAACGGCCACAATCCCAAGAAAAATGATGGGAAAATGAATAAAATTCGGGAGGGAAACCCAAACTACATCACCAAACGTTGATGATTAGATTTTGATTGATCCAATGTATAATTTCATTTCAAATTTGGGACAATCTCGACGACCACAAGCGAGGGATGGGACGATCAGGAACATTAACGATTTGGTGAAGTTACTAGTACTCATCATGAATTTATGTACAATCGTCTAATTACTCTTTTTTATCCCAAAATGATTATCTATTTGGATTTTCATTTTTAGTTTAAATGGTAGGGATGGAAAAAAATCTAAATTGAATAATATTTTGTCATATAGAGAGTAAAAAAATGTAGATAACCAGCAGCATGCATGTTAAAAATGGCGTTGAGAATTAATCCTCACCATTAAGCCCAATTTGACAAACTTTCGTTTGAAATGTGGGTTACATTATATGTGGATTATTTTTGTGACTGTTAAACTAAACTTCAAACTCCAACTTCCACTTCAACATGTTGATCCAATTGAAAAAAAGAAGAATTTTTACGTGTGTGGAGTGATACAAATAATCATAGTGGTAATTTTTTTACACTTTATGAAAGTAAATGACACTTAGAACATGTGTCAGCTTTACATAAGTTTTTATCCCGCCTAAACCAAAATAATTCATCTTTTACAAAAGAATGATGCCACGTGTCATGTGTTCATCCGAGAAAAAAAGGCTCCACAATTCTGCAAAATACAAAATGATCACATTAAACACTCCCCAATTTAAGAGATTTACATTCTAAAACCCTTATCTCCTTGCAACACTAATTATGGCTGATTATATATACCATAAATTGCTCATCATCAGTTATTATCTCTCAAAATCTCCCATTAAAATTCAAATTCCAAAATTGAATATAATCTCTAAATCTTTAATCCCCAAAAATCTGTAAATCCCTAACTTTATCTATTTCAAGATCTTTTGAATGTGATTGCACCCCGGAAGACGATGGGTTTGAGGCAGAAACCAACGACGAGAGAATAAAAACAAGCCCTTCAGATCCATCGACGTCAAATCCGACGGATTTAAAATTTGGTGAATACCAAGTTTCGTCCATAGATTCTTTACATCCATCGACTTATTGCAATGCCGCCACTGCTCCCGTCGGAGGATGCTTGGAGACCAGTCCTCACTAATTGGGATCGATAGCGGAAGCCGCCGATAGAAAGTTTCAGAAAGCAACATGGTATTTGTTTTTAGATTAGGGTTTAGTTTTCCCCTTTTGTTGATGTGTTGCTTTCTTCTAACGGAGACCTTGATTTTTGTTTAGCATGATCATTAAAACAAAGAGGAGAAAGAAGGCCGTCCAAAACTCAAAAATCCACTGCCACCGTCGAGTCCACGGAGAATATTCATGCATCATCGATCGTCTATGGATTCCATGTTCGTATTGGGTGATTGAGTTGGGCATCACTTTGATTTATAAGGGTTTTGAAGTAAATGTTTTTTATCCCAATGCGCCAACTAATGGTCATCATTTTTCCTCTAAATATAATTCTTCTAAATATCATTCAAATGAAGAATTATGATCAGTTTCAAAATCGTCTAAGTTTGTTTGATTATAAATTTTAATAAGTTTTTCCTTTTGGGTTCCACTTTCATTAGTCTTATTATTTTGCTTTGTGATTGTTGAAAACAATCAAACAATTCGGTCCTGGTTTTTCCTACTAATTAGAAGAAGAAGCTTGAGAAGAAAGCTAATAGTTATGCAGAATCCGCCAGCATGGTAATTAATTATCATCATATTAGCATTTTTTACTTTTTTTTTTGTTTAAGGGATTTGTAAAACAGTTTGTTTAATTGGCTTATCTTTTGTTTTAATTTTTTGCAGTGAAATTGGGGCCTAAAACCAAGAAAGGGAAACTGAGTTTGGGGGCTAATATAATTCGAAAAGGCGGACAGGAAAATATTTTTAGGAATTTATTCTGTGTTAGTGAGGGGGAGAAGCCAAAGAAAAGGGTAATATTAAGGGTAGTGACCAGGGTGTTTTTTTTTACTCATTAAGACATTATTCTTCCAGTGTTCTGAGTGGTACATATTATTTAATGCAATTTATTTATTTATTTATTTTGTCATGGGTAGTATTATTTATTAATTATATATCAATTTGTTAAATAGGACGTCCCGGACTTTTGCCCGGGACAAACATCTAGTAAATAATAAAAATATGAGCTCTTATGAATAATAAAATATTAGAAAAGGGTAAAAAAAAAAAAGTAGTATGTAGATACTTATGAGACAGTGGGGTCACCATGAATAGTAGTGTCTTTATAGGAGGAACAAAATATTTTTATTTTAAATCCTCATGTATGAATAGAGGTCTTCCCATCATGTTTAAACACATCATAAATAACGAAAAATTGGACCTTCTAAGGGAACTAGTCCTTAATTGTAGTTAAAATCTTTGGACAATAATTTTAAAGGAAGCAATTGCTTCCCTGGTGGTTTTGTACCTGTCAGATCTTAAGTAGTTAATGGTGTACAGAAAATACATAATATATGTAAATCTGAAGACTATTATTGTTAAGCTAAAAGTAATCCAGACTAAATCTATCAATTGAGCAAACATTGAGGACAAACATGTGATTTTCTCATATAATAATAATACCCATGTACATTTTATATTCAATAGCACTGCCCTGTGAGTCAGACAATGAACTGATATGTGACATTGTTCAAGTTTCTCTAAGCTATATGCCACCTTGGCAAAATGAATCCCCCTATCAAATGGTGCCATGGTTTGTCCAAACCTTAAGATTTTTTCAACAATTGTGGACAGTAATGCGATGAAAACATCGTCTCAGTCTAAAACCTATGCCTTTCTTTTTGCTTTCTTCCTAACAGCCGATCTCACATATTGAGATGAAAACTTTATTGTCGTCGTTGTCCCAACAGCAACCTTGTACGATGTAGAGGGTTGAAAGGAGGACAACAAGACATTGCTTCTTTGAAGAGCTATACTTTGGAAATTAGTAAGGTCCTTAATTCCCTTCTAAGGATCTTTCCAGCAGGAGACCTTGGTACTGAACGGATAAAATACACCTTCCTGACCTTTTTGTAAGGTGCAACCTGTCCCAAAAGTGACGTACAAGGTAAGATGGCAAAAGGTACTGTAACAAAATTCATCTGCATTACCAGCTGCTGTGAACATCCTCAGAAGATTTTCAAGAAAAAAAGAGACATCATTCAGTTACCTGCTTCGATACAAAGTCAATCACTGCAGCCTCAGAAAGTCCGCTTCCCTCTTTTCTGACTACAAATGCAACTGGAATCTCTCCAGCTTCTTCGTCTCTTGCTCTACATTAATATGGCAATAACAACAAAACATTTCGTAAGGAATGAGAGGAAGATCGTGGGAACTTTAAGATACTATTGATTACATCCCAAAAGACCTAATCAAGTCCAGGCCATTCCAAATTGAAATTAGGATGTCTATGATTTCGAGCATCCCTAATTTAATGCAAGTACATGTGATGTCGATAGCAGAAAATCATAGCAGGGTCTGATTATAAATGTGCCAAATGCTGCTGTAAGTGCTATTGAACAAAAACAGTATGCAGACTCACCCTGTTACTGCAGCATCAACAATTTGAGGATGGGATACCAATACTGATTCCAGATCAGCAGGTGCAATCTGCATTCAGTAGAAGCCATTAGAGCCTTAAGTACTGCAATAACAAGGGGACAGATCCAAGGTGGAAAAGTTGCCTCTTTTCAAGTTAGTATCAACTGTCATTTTCAAAGTCTATTACTTTTAACCCTTCGCAAGACATTCTGAATACACTTTAATCATAAGGAAAAGGAAAATTAGATGATGTAGACATTCTTATTTATTTTCTTTGAAATTTGCAAATAGAATATGAGAATCTCCTTGGTGGGAGAACAATAGATGACAGATTAAGAGAGCCAAAAAATTTACCTGGAATCCTTTGAATTTGATGATCTCTTTCAATCGATCAACCACATATACGTATCCATCCTTATCAAAGAAAGCAATATCACCAGTACGAAGCCAGCCGTCTTTATCAATTGCAGACTTAGTTGCCTCCTCATTATTCAGATATCCTACAGGTCAAAAAAAGAAAAGATCTCCAAGAATATCAGCTTATGGTAAAGTGGCATAAAAGTAAACAGATTAAAAGTCATGGTATGTCCACTGATTGTGTTTGGAGCAACATTGTCCTTCTACGTGCCATCAGTTTAAAATAGTGATGTCAAAATGAACTGAACAAAAAGACAGTAAATGGGGAGCAATTTGTAATTGAGTTGGAGGAATTGAAACGACTATCTGAAAGAGCAGGCATTGACAATCATCTGTGTAAATGAAAAAATAAAGTTGAACACTAGCACCAATCAAGCTCAAGTCTGAAGATATATATCTCTGCCTATTAGTCTTAATAATAAGACTAATTCACATAGAATCTTTCAATAACTTAACTTAATTGATTCAAAAGCTTTGGTAACGCTTGCAGCCTCTTTAAATATCTGAAAAGAGTACCTTTCATGTTACCAGCAGATCGGATCCAGAGCTCGCCGGTTTTACCAGGAGGTAAAACAGAACCAGTGGTCCAATTGACCACTTTAGCCTGGACAGAAGGAGCCAGAAGTCCTATAGAACCATAGTTGCGAAATTTTTCTGTGTTATATCCACGGGTTCCCACAGCAGTTGTCTCAGTCATACCATATCCCTGCCAATAAAAAGTTCTTATTGATATAGTCTAAGATTTTAAATGCAAAAAGAATGGAACAATTTTCAGTAAGGAATATTTAGGAATCAGGATTTAACCATTCATATCTGTCATATCTCAGATATGTCTTTCCTTTACACTTCTGCTTTCTTAAGCCTTATCACTTAAGTATAGATTAAGCTACTGCTAAACTGATCTTAGGGAAACTCCAAACTAGACCACAAACTCAACTTTAAAAATTTTTTTTTTTTTCAAAATTTCAGATCAGGCTCCCCTAAGTTAAAGTCCCGTTATCTTTTATCCCCCCATGATTAATCTGTAAATTTAACTATCTTGAACCTTTACTTCAAATCAAAGCAAGCATGAACAGACAATGTTACTCGAATAAGCAATGGAACAGAAAGTTAGCTTCTTTACTGTTGGTCAATCATCATGTTGTTGGGTTGGATTACTCAAGTACCTGAATGAAATCTACATGAGGAAATGTCTGAACGAAATCTTCAATGCTCTTTCCAGTCACAGGAGCTGCACCACATGAAATCTGCCTTAAACTCTTGAAACTACCACCAGAAGGGGCCTCCTTAGCCATTTTTGTCAATTTCAACACTATAGGAGGAACCGTCGGGAAATGAGTGACACCATATTTATCAATAGCCCTAATCATTTCATCAGCATCAAATTTTCTCATCACAACAATACGAGTACCCAATGACAACAGTCCCATCACGAAAAGCGCAAGTCCATAGACATGGAACATGGGCAAAGAGGCCAAATACACATTAGTGCTCGGAGACTCAGCATAAGTGGAAGCTTCAAACCTCACAAACTGAACCACAGAAGCTATAAAATTGCCATGAGTTAGCACAGTTCCTTTGCATGAACCAGTGGTGCCTGATGAATACAAAATCGCTGCAGCATCTTGCTGATTGATTTTAGGCCTCGGAGCCGAATTGGGATCACTTGAAATCAACTTAAGAAAATCAGAATCCTTATAATGCTGGGATTCAGACATCAAAAACTCAGTACTCGGCACCCCAATAACAGGAAAGCCTAAAGGACTAAATTCACCAACTCTCTCAGGCGAACAAAACCCAAAAGATGGTTTACAATCGAGAACTTGTTTTTTAATCTCCGAAAGGCTACTCAGAGGATTAATGGCAGTGGCAATTGCACCAACGGCCAGAACCCCGAGAAAAATAATGGGAAAATGAATGGAATTCGGGACAGAAATCAAGACCACATCACCCTGAGAAACACCCATTTGGTGTAAACCACTAGCAATTGATTTTACTAAAGGAAGAATCTTTGAGTAAGATAAGGAAAACCCAGATGAAGAATCAACAAGGGCTGTTAGGCCATCATGTTTGTGTGAGAAAATGAAGGAAACAACATCGAGAAAAGGGTCCGAAGGGAGGGGAACCGGAGGGTATTTGCTCTGGTAAACCCCTGTTTCTGGTGAATACCATGGTGGGTACGACACCTTTTTCGATTTGTACGTTGTGTGAAAGATGGTTTCTTCATCACCACCTGAGAATTGAGAAGGTTTCGAGAATGTCGACATTACAAAAACAGAGATTAGAAAGGTCAACTGAAGAACAAAAGACTCTTTATAATCCCTGTTCTTGTTCTGTCAAGAGAGCTTGGATTGGAACAGAGAATATTGAGTGAGGACTAATAAAAAACTGCAGGGACAAATGTGGATTATTTATAAAGGCGGTTTCTGCAGCAATTCAGAAGCGAAATGAAGAACAGATGTGACCGCAAATTGTCCTAATTCAATTGATTTTTTATTTTATTTTTTTTTAAAGAAGAATTTGGTAAGCTCCTCTGTTCCGTTGTTGGCTTTTTACCGGTCTAGAAAATGAGGGTTTGACCAGGACTTACTTCAACTGGGATTCTTTCTTGGGAAAAAGGATAGCGGGAAAAAAAAAAAAAAAAAAACAAATCAGTTATTTATTGATGAGATCTTCTGGGGATTTTCACACAAATTAAGTTCGAGTTATATTAGTATGATCTGCCTTAAATACCTTTAATTTTTGAAGATTAAACTTTCCAACACTATTAGTAACTTGTTAAATGGCAAGATCTAGACGACAAGAATGCCATTGCTTCATAAGGAATAGAACTCTAGCATTTAAAAATTATTACTACCTCCATTTTTTTATCTGTCGTATTTATTTCTCAATTTAACATTAAATATAATTTTTTCAATTTCACTCTTATTTTTATCTACTTTTAACAACTCAACTACATATTTTTTACACTCCAATTTCTAATTTTTATAAAGTTCCAATACTGTTAATTAGGAACAAAAAAAAAAACAATATATTTAAAATTGAAAGTCTCAAGTATTATTTTCTTAATAATTGTGCAAACCTTATAAAGTAAGATAAAAGTAAACGGAGATAATACGATAAAACCTCCATAAATTAATACACTTGGGCCTCCAAAAATATATTAATTTATGAGTTAATTTATCGATAAATTAATATTTTATTCATTTTGACAACGAGATACAAGTTAGTGGTAAGACGCCTCACTTGTTGACCAATAGGTCATGGGTTGGAGTCACGCCCGAGGTAAGTGGAAATTCACTATTAATCCCTTTTAAAAAAAATAATAATAATATTTTATTCATTTAAAGAGTTTTTTAAATCCTATGAGAAAGAAAATACAAAAATATAATTTTTTTATATCAAGAAAAGTCCATTTTAGACCTAGCTATAACATTATAAACTTTTTAATGGAACAAAAAATGATAACTACAAACATAAACATAAATACCTAAGTCAAAATCTAAGTTAACTTTCAAATATAATTTGTTATTTTAGGTATTTATTAATTTATGAAATTGTAGAGACTTATATTTACATAAGAGATTCTTGAAAAATTATTATCTTATAAATTAATCGAGATTTTTCATTTTTTATACTGGTCCCGAGTTGAGATCGAAGAAAAATATTATCTAATAAAGGTTATTAATAATAGAGGATTAATTTAAGAAAGTTTTACTGTACCTCCCTTCTTATTTATAAGAACTCAATAACTAATTCACCACATATAAAAAGCTCAACCCGTTATAAATTTCCTAACTTAACGCTGTTATATGAATGATAATGGCTTAAACAATTAGGAATGAGTAATTAGTTAGGAGGGTAAACAACAAAAAACCTTGTGAAATGTACACAAGGTTGGCCTCCACTTTTTCTACTTAAATTTTCATAAATAGCATTGTTCGAAGTGTTAATATGAAAACGTCTAACTAAAAAACGAAATAAAAGATTTCTCTTGCCTTATTAATTAGACGTATCCAAGTACGCAGCGTAGGTGCAATTGACAATGCTACGAAATATCAATTACTTCTCAAAATAAATTTACTTTATTCAAAACTTTATTGAAATTTTCATTAATTGGAGACTAAAAAAAAAAAAAAACAAAAACAAAAACAAAAACAAAAATTGTTTTGATTGCTTGTTGTGCAAACTATTCTCACACTGGAAATAGACAAGTCCAGTCTAAGAAGATGCGTTAGGCTTGTGGGGAGTGTTGAGTATCCTACATTGGTGGTGGGAAAGATTTGATATTAATATATAAATTTATTAGCTACTCCCTTAATTGCCAATTAGTTTTGAGGTGCAATCACATGGACTTCTATATGGTATCAGAGCTAGCCCGCCAAAAGTCGAACTCTAAATCTAATGTGATAAAACTGGTAAGGCTTGCGGTGACTGGGGTGAAAAAAATAGATAAACCCAACCCAAGAAGATGCATTGGGCTTGCGGGGCAAAAATAGACAAGGCCATCCCAAGAAAATGCGTTAGGCTTACGGGAGAGTATTGATCAGTACCAAACATCGGTAGTGAGAGAGATTTGATATTAATATATAAGTCTATGGACTACTCCTTTCATTGTTACTCTTTATCTGTTATGTATTTCATTTGCATTACCCTATATGTTTGCTATCAAAATCATACAAGGAAATGCTATTTACGGTAAAATTCATCACTGAAATAGATAATACTTCTACTTCCATCCAAGATTATCAACATGTATCAAGTTCTGAACAACGCACAAAACCATTGCATCTGGATTTGTGCGTGTCATCACACTGATTGATTGCAAAATTAGCTAGTTGTACATGATTTCATCCCTTCTCGTCTATCTTAGCAGGTAAGTCGATTTAGTCTAAGAGAATAGTTTAAAATATAACTCATTAGCTAGTATATTTTTATTTTTTTTTTCATTTCACTCTTAGTAAATGATATCAACTCTCTTTCAGTTAGTAATTTTTCACCATTTTAATACACTTGATGAGAAGAGTAAAGAGTATATTAAACGTATAAGTAAATTAATGAGAAGAGTATATTAGCTAGTATTTTTTTTTTTCATTTTATTCCTAGCAAATAATATCAACTCTCTTTCAGTCAGTAATTTTTCACCATTTTAATACACTTTATTTATTAATTGATTTCTTAATATACGTTGCGTGATGTGATTTTTGTTTAGAAATGAATAGGTAATGAGCAATGTAAAAATAATACTTTAGTAAAAAAATCACATTGACTTATGCCGTAATATGCATATTAATATTTGATGGTTTTCTGATGTTTTTGTGTTATATACTCAGTGATATCAATCAAAAGCTTGATCCGTGTTTAATTAATTGTCAGAGTTAAATTCGCTTATCATTTGGTTAAAATGTTAAGGTTTAACTATTTAGACATACATATGTGTCAATTATTAACCAATAGTACTACCTCCGTCCCAAAAAAAATAGTGCACACTGAATTTTGAGATTTGTATTAATTTTAGTACAAATTTGAAAACTCAATATAGACTATTTTTATGGGACGGAGGAGTTGTATTATTTAGACATACTCCCTCCATTTCAAAATGTAAATTTTTTATAAACTTAGCACCTAAACTAAGGAGATAATCATCCAACCATTAATGTAAGTGTTAAATATCTATTTTATCCCTCATTAATTAAATTAAAACTATAAACAAGACTAAATAAAAATATATTAGCATCATTTATTGAGGGTAAAGTTGGAAAAATAGTCATTAATTTGTCTAGAATTTGTAAAAAGACCTATATTTTGAAAAATCTCTCCAAACTTAAAACGACTTACAAATTGAAATGGAGGGAGTACATATGTCAGAATCTTATGCCCGTTCAAAACATGACAATAGTTGTTCGCAAAAGATGTTTACCATACTTACGAATTAATTAAGCTGCGAGTGACCAATTTATCATTAAAATTTACAACGTGCATTACAGAGAGTACATTACATTTAACTGCATCATCATAGGCTTACGATGTCCGCAATTTTTTTTTAAATAAATTTATAAGGCAAAAAAAGTACTGTCTAATTACTTAACTTGAATTAAATAGATTGACATATCAATGAGTCGATACATAATGATAAACGAAAAATCAGATAGTGAAAGTAGTCCGGCCATCGTTGGGCGGCAATGGGTGTGTGGCCGGCCGATTTGAGAGGTTAATAAACATAAAAATCGAACAAACTATATACTGAGCCGTGCACGTTTACGTTAACATTTAACGGATCTTAATGCACGAAAAAGGGGAAAAAAAAAAAACTGAATACTAATGGACTTTCACAAGCTAATTATTTAATTAGCTATCAAAATAACGTATCAGCAAGGAAATTAGTTTAAAGTCTAAATTGGCCTACTTGTATTTTCAACCATCTATAATAATCATCGCAAAAATATTATCAAATGTAGTGACAAAAGAAGATGTCACATAAATGACATTTTTTTTGTTACATTTTTTTTTTCACCTTACTTTGTCCTACAATAAGTGTAACATTTGATGTTTCAAGATGAATATACGTACCCCAACTAGTACAAAACCAAAGTATCATGATTCATGTTATATGTTTTGCATCTATCTTATTAGGAGACAGGGATACATAATTCTTACTCATCATATTCAAAGGGTACCCTAAGAGGAACTTTATAACCCAAAAAAAAAAAAAAAAAAACACTTTTGAATTGTCTCGATAAAGTTTGTGTGATTCATTAAACGTCACGCATTTTCCTATTTGCTTGATTTGCATTTCGTGTCACAAAGTAGTACTGTACGTACGTGAAATATTTCTTTCTAAGTTAACCAAAAAAGAAAGTCATGGTTAATGTTTTTCTTCACAAGCTAGTAGTATTCATGTCATGCGATGTTTTGGATGCTTATGCAAAGTAGGGAAAAGAAAACGATTTTACTTTGGCCATTTCTTCGTTTTTTGGGGCGTTTTCTTTTTCTTTATAATTTTATCTACGAATCCTAATTCGTGTTAGACGGAAAAAGTTATATTTCCTATATCTTAAAAAAAAAATCCGTACTGAGTTCTGAAATTTGTACAAAACAGCTTACAGACTTCAACATAAACTATTTTATTGAGACAAAGTTAATATTTAATTAAATGAAAATAGTACGATAAACTGAATTATTTAAGTCAAACAGAAAGATTATAATTCATCAATGTACCTATCTTTAAAAAAAAAATTCTGAATGACTTTAACTTCAAATTGTGTCTTATAACTAAAACCGGTGAAATATATAATTTGTTATGTATCTTTCTAGTTCTTAATTTATGATTAAAAAATTGGAAAATTTTACGAAATCTTCTCAGTATACCTTGTTAAATCCGATGGGAGTTGACTTAACACTTTAAAGAAGATTGCCAAACATTTTTAATTACTATAGGAAGTGAATAGTTGGTAAGAATTGATGGAGCTTAAGCTAATTAATCAAGT